AATATAAAGTGGGACCAAATGTTTTACTTAAATATTACTCTAAAACCCTGAAGTTCTGTGCTTTGATCAAGGGAATGGTCATTTTCTATATGTGTTTTTAAAGTGAACCATTGTCTAGACAGTATGATGACAGGAGGGTTAGTCTGTTAACTGACCCCTCACAGAATCACGCACAGGTCGTTTATCACACTTCTGGCAGCCGATTAGCAACTGACCCTTGAAGAATGGATGAGTTTAAACATGAATGCTGACTTTTTGCATTCCTTGTTGTCTTTGCCTGTCATCCTATTCGCGATAAGGCTCCTTAAAATAAATTTGCCCCTTTCTAATGTCAAGTTGCCTTTTTTTTTATAGCAGATTACCATGAAAACAAAACAAGCATCTTACTTTTGCAGATCTTGTAATGGAATGGCATATTAAGTGACATGCTATACACGCACTTTGTCTAATGGCTGTGCGCAAGTGTGTGTTTAACACTTTCAGCAACTGATTGAAATCCATTTGCAGAGGAATGTCCAGCTTTTATCTCGCTTAGCCTGCTTATCTTGTCGCTGCTGTCTCCTGTCTGTTTCATTTCACTGCTTAAAATATTTTCTTTTGTAACCCAAGGTTGGGTCAAAAATGGACAAACCCAATGCGAGTGTTTTTTTTTAAATTAAATTTAAATTACACTTTGTAACCCAGCAGTTGGGTTTATCCGACACAATCTCACGGCAATTCGTAACTTTGTCATTTAGTGGCTATTTCGTACGAATTCGTATGATCTAATTCGTACATTTTAGTACGATTTGCTCATCCCCCAATGACGGTTGGATTTAGGGGTGGGGTTAGGTGCCACGCCTACTTTTTAAAATCGTACAATTTCGTACGACTGAACTTATACGAATTCGTACGAATTAGCCACTAAACTGCCAAAACGTAAAATACCTACGTTTTCTCGTGAGATCAGGCTGGTTTATCTATATGTGATCCAACTTTGGGTTACAACAACTCAATTTTTTTGAGGATACATTAATTAAATAAAAAGAACTACAGTTATTTTTCCAATCAACCCCAGTTAATAGTGATTAAATCGTTAAAGAAAAATAAGAGTTTGATACAATCCAGTACATTAACACCATTGGCATGCATTCCATCAAAATATCCACATGGGAAATTTTAACCCAATTAACAGAATACAAAATGTGTTTTCTGTGTGTGTGTTTTATTTGAATGATGGGTTATCAGTGACTGGGCTGATGAAGGGAAGTGAAGGGGATGGGGTGACTGGGATTGGATTGTGCTGCTGGTCTTTGATGCATGCATCTCTGCCCAGCTAGATAAGATTAGCCACTCGGAGATAACAACACACAGGCATCTTATCAATCTGAATCTCCCCAGACACAACATAGTGTGTGAAATCAGTCTCCATAACATAAACATGTAAGCTCTAACTGGTATTGTAGTAAGTTCAGTGAGTGTCTCATCTTTAAAGCATTGCACCTGACCCTGACCACAATCTCCAGATTGCTGTCTATCTGTGTGATGTCTGCAATCACAAACATCAGAGAACTTTAAAAAAAAAATACCTTAGAAAGACAGAAGATCAAGAATATAGAGAGGATAAAGAGTTCTGTGCATTGTCAAAAATTAATTTGTACCTCAAAAAAAAGAAGTCAGAAGTATTAGCCCCCTTGAATTATTAGCCCCCCTAAACTATTAGCCCCCTTGAATTATTAGTCCCCCGGTTTATCGGTTTTTAATGAAGAGAAGAATTTTCAACACATTTCTAAACATAATAGTTTTAAATAACTCATTTCTAATAACTGATTTATTTTATCTTTGCCATGATGACAGTAAATAAAAGACTTAGGTTTACTAGGCAGGTTAGGGTAATTAGGTAAGCTATTATATAACGATGGTTTGTTTTGTAGACTCAAAGGTTTGTTCTGTAGACTAGAATCGAAAAGAAATACAGCTTAAAATGGCTAATAATTTTGACTTTAAAATGTTTTTTAAAAAATTAAAAACTGCTTTTTTTCTAGCCAAAATAACACAAATAAGGCTTTATCCAGAAGAAAAAATATTATCAGATATAGTGTGTAAATTTCCTTGCTCTGTTAAACATCATTTGGGAAATTTTTGAAAAAGGAAAAAAAAAATAAAGGGGGCTAATAATTTTGACTTCAGCAATGGGACATTCTACCAAAAACATACATTTTCACTTATAAAGGAATGTGACAGGGCCTGACTTTTAAGCTTGTTGTCCTCCAAAAACTTATTAAAGAATATGACATATCAATGATAGAACACATCCTTGATCACTTTTTTTATTGCTTGAACTGACTATACAAGAACAACAGAACAAAGTTCAGGGGATCACAAACAGATCTTAAAAAAGTCAATAATAGTCATAGGAGAAAATATACAAATACAAATAAAACACCATTAGACAGAAAGGGAAAATATATAGTGTTATTAATAATACAATAATAATACTAAAAAGATTAAATTAAACAAACAAAATTTAAACAAATTAATGAAATGACAATGACACTTAAACAAATATCCATGAGGAAAGCAGCTGAAATCGAGGATATTCTTTAAATACATCTGTATATTTCAGGAATCTTAGGGTTTTTTTATTCTTAATAAGATGATTTGATTTAAAATGGGGGTTAAATTCTATTCTAAATTAAGCAAATAATGGGTAATTATTAGCGAATTTCTGTTTGTGAATGAAAAATTTGCTATATAAGTAAAAAAAAATTAATGTGTTCCAGGGGTTTATCTTTTGGGTTATTATAATAAAAAATAAATGTATTTTAGACTAAAGCAATTCACATCATTGGTGAAAACAAATACTGTATATGAGAACTTAGGAGTGACATAAATTGCTTGGAATTTGGACATCAACATATGTACTAATGTCTCCAGTGTTTGTTTGCAGAAAAAAACAGGAGCTGTCAATGTTCCAAAATTTTGAAATACTTAAATAAAATTTATGTTAAATTTGAAAATGTATTTCTTTTGCCTTCTTTGAAATGCAACATTTCCCAGGTAAAAACCAGGTTGTATTCCAGTCTATATCCTAAACCATGGACCTCCAGTAAAACTTTCGTCTAGAAGACATTTTCCTTTTAAATTGAAAAATCTGATGCTCAAACCTATTGTTACATTTCTTATCTAACAGACTAACACCTTCTGAAAGCTAAGGAGAATGAATATACACTGAGCTCCTTAAGGGTTAAATCTACAGTGACTTTTAACAAGGTGAACTAACCCATCCTTGATCACTGTCAGCTTCTCCTCCATCAAATGATGTCACTTCCGAGTTATATCCTTAAAGATATATTGTGGTCATTCCATGTTAAATTTAATGCAAACGTGAAAGGACAGACAGAAACATGACGACAATTGTATATTTATTTTTATTATATATTTGCAGTATTTACTGGTATCATTTATTTATAATTTCATGTTTTAGTCAATTAATGTGAATTTTAACAACTCAAACTTGGCTATTTTTTTAAATAACTGTTTTTAGCATAACTAAAATTCAATCGGGCTGAAGACAAGGACAATGACAGGGTTCGTACATTTGTAAAATGTTTTTTTTTTTATATATATAAAAATATATGTGACACATCACAGTGAAGAAGTGATGGAGGTTTCTTGAACAGAAAAACTTCCTGCAAAACTGCATTTGTTTTTCACAGAATAGCAACACATACAGTTTACAGAGTCAGGTAACTTTTTGATATGTTTCACAACCTGATTCCATAAGATAACTTTCCATTTATCAACTTTATTATTCTTATTTTGTACTCAGGCTTTAAAAAAGAGAAACAAAACAGCATTCATCTAAAGCAATTGTGTAACACCAAGAATTGTGAGATCTCTTGGGGGATCATACAGTCAAAATAAATGGTACGCAAGCTGTCACTGAGGTGGTAACTTTTCAAAAGGTACACACTTGTACTTAAAGGGTCCATATCGGTACCTCAAAAGTATATATTAGTACCTAAAATTTTAATATAGTAACACTTTTGTACTTTTCAGGAACTATATGTACCCTTAAAGTATTAATATGGACCCATTAGGTAAATGTGTACCTTTTGATATACCACACCAGTGACAGCTCACTTACCTCTGAGAATGTACATTTCTAAAGTGTTTTTAATAAAGAAAACATTTTTATTTGACCGAATGAATGACATATTTCTTTACAGAACAACTCACAGAAATCATCCATCAGTTCATTTTAGAAATTTTGGCATGAAATACTTTTTATTCGCTGTATTTATGTTTTTTCATTTATTTCAGGGACAGATAATATGTTTCTAGTGAAATGTCCCGTTTTTTGTCCTGTTATCTTTGTGCATTTGAACATGATATTACGTTGGTGTCATGTCCAAAACATCAGCCCACTGTAACACTATTGGGCTGCACAATTTCTCTTCAGTCTCTTGCGGTAATTTTCTATGTCGTTAGGGGTCATGCTTTGGCCATAAAATGGCTCGATTACACAGCGCAAGTTTATTTGAAATTTTTGTGGTATTCTAACTTACAAATGAATTACAAAAATAACTACTCGGATAATTATCCACATGAGTTTTTTGTCATCATTTCGCTGTATAACAAGCGGAAATCGGTCGAATTAATTCATTGCCGGGCTGCGTTTTCTGGTGTGCGTAACACGCTTTTAGCCTATCCCATAAGTTATAAAACTGTCTGTATATAACTGAATAAACTTTAAAAAACTACATTCAGTTGTATTCTGCGCTTCAAAACAAGAATGCTCCCGTTTTTACAACGAAACCCTCTTGTAGCTTTTGCAATGAATGAATCCACCTGAGGTGTTGGAAGGTAAAACAGAAATGAAGCGTTACAGCCGCGTTGCGTCGCTCGCATGCAGACTATACTGTTGCTGACATGAGAGATGATTGTCATTTACATGTAGAAGACACGTTGACGTACGAGTAAAGACGAGTTAAAGGATGTTAAAACTGTCTCGTAAAGCTCCACCTCTGTCTGGGCGGGCTTGAGACGCGTCTACCTGCATCTGCCCCGTTATTTAAAAGCCTCTGAGACAGACGCGCTGTCCACTCTACAAACACGAGGGATCAGTCAGAGGTCAAATAAAAACCATTTGACGGAGAAGATACATAGCAAAGACGTTTTGGAATAGTAAAACTTCTAATTCTCAATTATACAAAACTTTTTATTTGATGGGACACGCAGAAGTTTCCAGCTGTCTTCTGTCCGGAGCGACACATCACGGTGAAGAATTGATGGAGGCGTCGCGAACAGAACAACTCCCTGGGCAACTGCGTTTGTTCTGCACAGGATAACAATACATAACTTACAAAGTCAGGTTACATTTTGATATGTTTTACAACCTCATGAGATAGCTTTTCCATTCATTAACTATATTATTATTATTTTGTTGCTTTAAAAAAAGAGAAAGAAACAGCATCGCTCTAAAGAACCTATAATGTAACACTAAGAAACTTTGTGATCTCTTAGGGGACCATACAGTCCAAATAATGTATTTAATTAACAGCAGAGTTCTTAGTTGAACCTGTAGGAACCAGTGAAGAACCTATGGCGTGATTAAGAAGAGGACAGAACATTGTTTTGGAAGTGATTTAGAAGTGCACCCTAATCATAATCAACAGAGACTGGATGTAAATATGACGAGCGCCTGGTTTGCTCTGCTGAGCTTCTTGTGGAGCTGTTGTTTGGCAGGTAGCAGTTCTGTACTGGATGGCTTTGAGCTTCAGTCCAACTTCATACATCGGAGGTTACGGTCTCAGGAGAAGAGGGAGATGCAGAAAGAGATTCTGTCCATACTGGGACTGAACCACAGACCCAGACCGCATCTGAACAGCGGCAAATATAATTCAGCACCCCTCTTCATGCTGGATCTGTACAACAGCATGTCCACTGAAGAGAAGAGCGACGTGGATCAGTACAGGTCACTGTTCACCACCACACGACCTGCTTTGGCTTCGCATCATGACACTGAGTTCCTGCATGACGCTGACATGGTCATGAGTTTTGTCAATTTGGGTAAGGCAAAATTTCCTTGATCGTGTTATTCTTGTGGTTGTTATGGATGAGTTGTCTGTTAATGTAAAATGAGAGCTTTATGTTTAGATGTCTGATAAAAGACATAATAAAGAAAAAAATATTTACTAATAGATTAAGACCATACATTTGGCCACTTATGGGCTTACAGTGCTCAGCATATAAAAGTACACCCCTCACAAATCTATTTTTTAAATTCAGATATTTAATAGGAAGCTTTATATATGTGCTTATACATTAGATCAGTGGTTCTCAAAGTGGGGGTCGGGACCCCCCGAGGGGTCGTGGGGCAATGAAGGGGGGTCGCCTGGTGATTTCCAAAAATCTATTTATTTGTATTAATATAAACATTTTTATTAATATAATGTATTAAAACATATTTTATCCATAACTATACTGAAAATAAAAATAGTTGTTTATAGTTACTATATACTATATAGTTACTATAGTAGCTTATAGTTACTAGTTCTATTGGATTGCGACCCCTGGGGTAATTACATTATATTAAAGGCAGCAATAGCGTCAAATGCATTTTGATTTTATAACATCAGGTTATACTTTCTGGCACATTTAAAGCACTGACACAAATATAATTGGTGTGTCTGCATCATTGCATGCAAGGTTTCTGTATTTATAACCACCTCAGAGGATATTGGGGGTCGCGAGTCACTGGCATTGTTATTTTGGGGGTCGCGGGCTGAAAAGTTTGGGAACCCCTGCATTAGATTAGTCAGTATTGAAGCCAAATTTGGAGCTTATCTAACAAAATATTTTACAATACGGTCCAAAAACTATTACACCCAAATTTATGTTTTAGAAAAATATGAATCTATTTTAATAAATATATAATATAATTTTTTTCGGTTGTAATTTATTTTTGCAATATTTAGCTTGCCTTTAATTGTATTATCTTTCAATTTCTTAATATGTTTGGTGACTAAAATATTATTTTAATTTATATATTTGTTAAATAAATCCGTTTTGTTTAAAAGCACTTAATACATTGCATATATTCACTGAGAAATGGATAAAAATATTCATTTTCAAAATGGGGTGTACTCAATTATGCTGAGCACTGTAGTTAATGTGAAGAACTGCACCTGTGTTTTCTTGGTTAAGGCACCTGTGTGTAAACCAACTTCATACATCCACTGAAATAGAAATATTATTTTTTTTATAAAATTATTCTGTTAATATAATCTGGTAACTTTTAGGCTTTTGTAGTTTTAAAGCCAAATATGCATATTTTTGTGAAATATTTTGCTTAAACGTGTGCTATTTTCTTTACACTCTAAAAATGATTGGATCAAAAAGATTAATCATATAATATACTTATCATAATTTATTATACTAAGTTAATCATCTTCCTAATTAACAATTTTAAGCTACACGTGCAATTTTAAGTATGTTTGATACAGTCTATAATTTACAAACAACTCTCAAAAGTTGAGAGTTTTTTATTAGGGTAGTGTATAACTTATAGTAGTACTGGATAATATATCACTTCAGCACCGATATCACAATGTGATCATTAGCAATAGTCACATTGCAATTGTAGATTATAGATTGTTTATTAGATTTAATGGAGATGCACTCTCACTAAAGAATCATCCCGATCCATCTAACATTTTAAATTCTTTTCAAATAGAGATATTAAGTGGTGAAACTGTATTCATATTTTACAGTAAAGACATATCGCAATCTTTATTTTTCCAATATTGTGCATCCCTAACTGATGCCTAATTTAAATTTAATTTAAATGACATTCTTTTTGTGGACACTATTTGTTAAACTTTTTAAATAATGAATCTCATATCAATCCAAAGAAATAATTCCTTCAAATATCTTACTTAACACATGTACAGATAATTTTTTAAAAAGATTTATTTATTGTATTTTTATGACAGCTAACAAACAAAAGTAAAAAGATAATAACATTACAAATCGAAAAAAAAGTAAATAACAGTACAAAATTGATTAAAAGCATACCACACTATAACCCTCATATTGTGCCACACACAGTATATGATGTGCATTCATTTTTCAAATTGAGCATATAAGCAGGTCGGTACCGGAAGTTGAGGTTGACAGCATGGTGTATCAAGTAAAATAAACAATGATGGTAAAAGAAATAAAAGAAAATAAAAAATTAAAAGCAAGAAAAAAGGGAAAATATAATAAACTAAATAGGCTAGGATCTATCATATATTTCTTCTAATATCTTCTAATGATTAAAATATTTGAATGATGTTTTATTTATTTTTTTGATAATTTTTTTTTTCTTATACAAAGTATTTTTGACTATTGCCAAAAATACACCCATGCAACATAAGACTGGTTTCGTGATCATATATTCTGGCCATATATCATGGTAACTGAAGCACTCATTGTACTTTTTTTTTGGTGAATATTGTATTGCAACACTTTTATAACTGACATCTATCAGGCTGAAAGTGACCCCGAGCACAGTGTCAGACCACAAGTCTGTTTATGCTCAGGGTTTCTGTGTGGTTTGCTCCAGTAAACACAGACCTCATTAATGGAGGGAGTATTCGTGTCCAAGATTCACTTGTTTATGTGAACTTCCCTCTACGGGGCCAGGAGTTGCCCAATTAAGTTAATTATAACAATACAAACTCTTCTGGCTCTGCTCACTGCATCTGCGCGCCAATTCAGTTGCCAGAGATGCTTTTGTGCGAGTTGCAACATTCTGCTTGTTATTTGGGATCCTTTCAAAGCTCATTTGTCTCTGCACGAGCGTTTTGATCGCTGTTTTCTGGGGTCAGTTGAACACTTGATGGGCACATGTCTTTGATTGACACGTTGGCCACATTTTTTTGTTGCTGCTTGTAAAAACACTGAATATTACAAAAATCGACCACACTGTGCTATTCGTTTAAAGTGGCTTTTCGCATTTAGCAATTTAATTTTTTTTTTACAAAGGAAGTCATATAATTTTAGCTTAGAGTGACTTGCCTGTGATTCAAGTGTTAATTCTTCTCTGGTCATTTATTGCAGTCATCCGTCTAGAACACCTATGACTAATATCCAATTATAGGAGAAAAGGGAAGCTTCAGTATATATTGGCGTACAGCAACTTGACCAGTGTTGTTGTAACTCATCCAGAAATAGCAGGGCTTTTTGTTGTGGACATTTGGAAAGTCAATGCATCCCATGAATCATCTTACGACTGTGGAAAGAGTACAAATTTCCTTTTTATTGTGTGGCTTCATGAGTAGTCAGGATTTCTGACCCCAAGTTAAACATTGCTGGTACATTGTGTTGGGTTGTACTGTAAACCATACATACATAAATATATATAAAAAAAAAAAAGTCATGATTGGCATGCCTTCCTATAATTTTAAACCAGTTTCAATATATATATATATATATATATATATATATATATATATATATATATATATATATATATATATATATTAGGGTTGGGGCGACGATAGACGATGCCATCGTCAATCACCAATGGCCAATAGACAACACGATGCTGATAAGGCATCGCCGATGCTTCACCCCCTTTGCAAACCCGCTCGCGAAAAATACACACTTAGGCCCCATTTACACTAATACGTCTTAGTGTTAAAATGGCATTTTAGAACAAAAATGATCCGCATCCACACGGTGTTTTACCTAGCATTTCTGAACAGCCCTCTGCTGAAAACGCACATCACGTGACCACACACACAGACACAAGTGGTGCACAGCCACACGCTTCTCTCTCAGAGCTCCAGAGACAGAGAGCAGTGCACGTCTTTATCAAGGTTGTACCGCTGTATCGCGTCTCATTACAGTTGTCAAGACATCCCAAGTCTCCTGGAAGTTACGCACCCTTCTCACCGCCAGATCCCTCCTCGCTCTTCAGAAATGTCGTGCGCAGTCCATCAACAACCCATCGTCGTTGCCATCGTCC